ACATTTAGACATTCCATCCTATTCCTAAGAACTTTAGGTGGCTGGAAAGCATCTTGTTGGATGGTGGCGCAAGTTCTTCATTTTTGCCAATGGAGCTTCAGACACCACTGGCGATGTCAATTCTGGGGTTAGGACTGCAGCCATCTTCTGTGTTCTTTTCTCTGTCCAGCTAGATTCTTCAGGCACTGTTTGAGTTTCTGGGGGGAATGAAATTCTCGCACTGCGAAAGTTATGTCCAACATTTATTCTTGAGAGCGGCACTTGTTCTAATTAGATAATGGCACATTACGGTGATGGGTAATGACATGTGATAAGGAAAGTTATTCTATTACAGGTATATAGCGATGTGATAATATGAAGCACATCATGTCAGTTAAGTGACTCAGGGTGTTTTAAACTGGTGTCAGGAAGTGTATAAACCGGTACAAATGATATTATATAATCCAGTTTCAGGAACTTACGGATCAGATTCTTTTGTTTCTTTTAGCATCTTTCCGGTGTTTTTCTTTCCTGTAATCTGCCGACGTCGATCGTCCATCTTGCTCCTCCAGATTATCCAAAAGGTTTCTATTAAGAAAAGCAAATGAGTTAATTTTCATTCGTCCAATAATAGATTATTACAATCCGACAAACATTCATTAGTTTGATTATTATCATATTCACCATGTATCAAACCAAGTGAAAAGTTATTGTGGTATATCAACTACATGTATATGCATTCCTGCGAGGGTGTGAGAGAAGTTTTCCATTAACATGATCGACATGATTATGCAGCAATTATGCACTACATAATGGTATGCTATGTCAATTCTACTACTAGTACTAGATAACTGACAATGAAATAATTAGATGGTAGATGTACCCAATTGTGAACAAGAAACATTAATGACGTCTCTAATCTTATAAAACCCAACATATATATTGATTATCATGTCGAGCAATAATAAAACCTGGGGTAAGTTTTTTTACCTTAAATAAGTAACTTTTAATGGATTTTCAAGGGACTCCACGAACTTTTCCATGATTCTTCTCACAATAGCCTAAAACAAAAAGATACACACATTTGGATCATGAACATATGTCGATTGGTAATATTTTCCACCGAAATATCATGAACTACTTGTTTCATCTATATTTGTTGCCTTGCTGGATATAACCATTTCTTAAAATATATTTTTATTCCGTCAATAACCTTGAAAGGCGAACAAGCCAAGTGGCTTATATAAACGCCGTTCCAGTATACGGTTCCAATATAGCTGGATACATAATTGAAATAGTCCGACAAGAAAAGAATAATACTGAGACAAAATTACACTCAGAAAAATGACTGAAGAATAGATATTTGGTTTTGGTGTTGGTTGTGCCCAGCAACAAAATGAGCTGCCGCAGAAAATCAAGTTATATAAATATCAGACTAAACGTACAGGAACACAAAGGTATACTTGTCTTATGGTTATATTTTAACGGAATGTTCAGCTGGTATCAACAATAATGTTGTTTTTTAACAGATTTCACACCAAAATGCAATGTCCACATTAATAACCGTGGGAGAAATCGAAATGCGAGCGCACCGTTACTGTAAGATAAAGGTTCCTGCCGAAAACGTTTAATTCGATGCAAACTGACTGCTATGATAAGAAGAAAATAATTAATTTTATCTGAAACCTACCTGCCAATTTTTCTGTCCTGGGTTTCCGTTGAGATCGCTCAAGTTCCCGGATCCTTGTTTCCAAAGCTTCGATTGTCAAGTACGTTGCCATGTGTCAAGAAAACTATAGCAAGTATACAGACTGCCATTTCTACTACCTTACTCTCATACACTTACTTCAAAACAACAACGAAGTTTTTTCCAATCTCGCGCGTGTACGTTTGAACAAAGATGGCGGCATTTCAAACAAAGACTTATGGGTACTCAATTAGGTTTTTTTTCATTTCTATTGTAAACATGCCAATAGTCTGCTTACCCTTCACAAGCTTAGAAATGTTTTTACAATGTCCGTCACATCTCGCGGGGCCTCATTCATTCCAAGTCAAGCGCTTCCGGTTTCGGGACAACAATTTTAGTACGTGGTCTGACTGCCAGGTGGGCAGCACCTGCTACCTCAACCGTGACAGACCCAGGGACTGGGCAGCTGTCCACCTTGGCAGAATTTCCTCAACCTAAACAATGAAACAATAAGAACGGTGGATGTATTTCCCGTAATAAAGTACTCCAGCAGTGTAAGCTTTTTTCAGATTTTCCGATGCGTTGATCGTATTTGACCGATCCAATTTGATCCTATTTCTGTGTTTTTTACCTGATATTTAATCATATCAAGAACAATGTGATGTTTGATGACCTATTATTTTAAAACCACACAGCGTAGTTCCCTAAGATTTTGTAGGCAATTAATATTGCATGCAATACAACGATTACTACTCCCTTGCTGTAACCGTGTTTGGTGATATAAACCTACACCCGTTTATTTGTCATCATTCACTTGATGGTCATTTAGTGAACTTATAACAGGTATAGTACTACATGTTATGGAAAATATGCATGCAGGTGCAGCAAAAGGAATTATCAGCTTAGTTAAAAAAACAAATGAAAGGATTAACTGATAACACGCTAATTGATTTATTACTTTTATCTTGCACGACGTCTTTGTCAAAAGGGCCCGTCAAAAGATAGTCTTTATGTTTGTAGAGTTACTAACGTATACTGAAGAGGTTTAGTACCGTGAAGTAGACATTTTTGATGTTTGTAACAACAATAAGGGCGACACACAGGGATTTTCAGGTTGACCGCACTTGGAGAACAATGGACATAATCTGTGATGATAGGCATGCAGGTTTCACTAAATTCCCAAGTTGAAAACAAAATAAATTGTACAACGAAGTGATATCCGTAGAAAATACCAGATGTTAGAGAATATTTTACATATTCATGATATGGCAACAACAATAAAATTCATTAAAATGACATCTTAGCACAAATTATTTTAATCATCATAATGATAAAACAATTTCATAATACATGTACATAGTACACATCCAGTCTACACTGCAGTTTCATTAAGTATGAAACTGCGTCTGCGAACGCAAGTACACTTATTCTGCCTGCAGACAAATCCTCAGTGGTATTGTAAAATATATGTTGTATTTATTGTCACAGCGTATATTTATAAATTATACCTTTATATCATTGTTGACAAGTTCGTGGTTACGTATGTCAGGATGTTTTGTGACTATATCATGGACAGTGGAGACAGCTGAGACTCTACAACATACCCAGGACATCCAAGATGTAGCATTTCTCTAAAGCGTACCATCCATACATAGATATCTTCCGCCTCGTGAAGTCGGAATGAACTTTTACTTTACACATGTAACTGCTGTTTTGCCATAATAAAAGTGATGAATTTGAAAGTATGGCCAGCATATTATGTACCAAAATTGATGAGTTGGTGCTTACTCATATCAATTAATGACAATCAATGATTGTCAAAACAAGCTAAGTGAGTTCAATTTCATTGATTTCATTATGTGAGTGAACAAGGGGTGAGTTCGTGTCACCTATTTCGCTAGGTAGTTCAGAAAGCTAATCCCTTAAAACAACATGCACCGTTTTTAAAGAATTGTGACATTATGTAAAAACTTGTCAGGTGTATTATCTTTGGTGTCCAATGAAACCCGGTCACGTGACAGGGAACGGTTTTTTGGCAGCTGCAGATGAATGGCATATCGTTCCATAATGTGGATACTGATGGATACTTTTCTCGAACAAGGTAATAGCCCATTAGTTTTGTTATAAATAGTTGGTTTTAAGTTTTCGATATCTGTATTTTGTTTTCATTTTTCTTGTAGCATTCAACAAAATCATTTCACAAACAACATGTACTAATGAGTTATAAGCCCCCACCTCTCCTCTTCTGACAATCCAGGGGCGTACCCAACAAGATCTCTTAGTTTTTTCAGGTTGTAAACTGATTCCCTTATATTTTAGGTACTCTATGACATATCTAGAAAGCCATTTTATAAATTTATGAGGTTCCAAAGTGCTTATAAATAATGGATCAATAATGATAATGCTATAATTAACAATCAAAACGTTCACTGACTTCATTTTCTTTCAATCCCAACAAGTTAACCTTAAAAATATTTTATGTCTATAAGTCTACTGTATAATTTGTTGTGGCCTGTATTATGTTCTTTATTGAACATTTACGAAACTATTGTCCTTTTTAGTACAGTTATGTGTAATGTGCATAACCACTCCCAGTTAGTTGTATTAGTATGTATCACTTTGAGAAAAACAAATGGAAAGCTAATGGGTAACTTAAACCTAATGGAGCCTTACCGGTTCTTCAGTAATTTATAAGTTTAAGGCATCCGTGAGTGTACCTAACAAACCGTTAAGGAGACAAAGTAGAATCTTAAGTTTCCGTAATATGGTTTAACTTTTCCTGAAATGAATCTTGTTTTATGTGACAGATACTGTCACATGAAACAAGATTAATTTCAGGATTGAATTCTGGTGTACAAAAACACTGAGATCACTAAACTGAAGCTTATATTCATGGAATACATAGACAGTTTAGCGTATGTTAATGTAGGTTTCTAGATATATGCTGTATATACTGGTATATATGGAGTAATTTCCTCTACGTTCGTTTCATTGACGTTCCCATCAATGATGGTTTCCAGCTGCTTTATGCAATGGAAACTACCAATGATACATTACTGTAAATTTCCATTTCTGGAAACTAACTTTGTTGCTTTCCGGTATATTCCAGTATCTGAAACTAACCTCGTAAATTTTAATTTGTAAATGTGTGCATTATATAAAAAACTTATATACTTACCTGTCTGCGAAGGACAGTAAATAAACTAGTCTATCACAAATGTACACTAAAAACATATAACCATAAACAATTTAACAGTTCAGTATAAAAATGGGAGGAACCCTGCATGGGCCCTAGCTGGATACTGTATATATAAATTATTTTGCAAGTGTAACAGTATATAAATATAGTCCCCCAATGGAACAGCAAAAAGCTAAGTTTGCCATTTCATCTAAGCTGAAACCAACAGACTTGTCAGTTTCCGGGTACAGAAACCTAGCTGAAACCTACATCACCCAGTATCCAATAGGTTTCCCCAACAACGGAAACTAAGTCATTTTGCTATGAATGTTTCAGCGACCTGAAACTAAATGGAAACTAAAATGACAGTTTCAGTTGTAGAAATCTGACGGAAACCTAAATTTGTAAGTTTCAGTTTTGTAACATATGCGGAAACTCGAATTGTCTGTTTCCGGATACTGAAATCTAGCCGAAACCTACATTACACAGTATCCATTAGGTTTCCGCAAGAATGGAAACTAAGTTATTTTTGCTGTGTATGTTCCCAAAGTAAACCGCATTAAGTGAAAGTGCATTAAATGTATTTATATTTTAATACCACCCTTCAGTGTCACATCTGATTTGTATTCCCAACCTAACAGTCAGGTATCATAGCATTATCATTAACAATTGCGCTGCCAAAGAAGCGAGCATAACATAGTTCAACATTGAATACTGACATCTGCCATCAGCTGTACAGTCAGAAGCGACATTGCTGAATATTCAGCGATATCTGCTGTTGAATATATGCCATACTAAGCCGTTCTATATTCACCTGACTCGAAGCACCCGTGAAGAGCCACCTCCTCGTGGTGGGTGCTGGGTAACGCTAAGCACTCTTCAATCCCCCGTTGTGGACCCGGGGGTATATTTGGTCCACCAACCTGTTCGCCCTGGGTTGCGCCCCTGTGTCGGTGGAGGACGGGAGTCTGGTGGTTGAGGGCAGGAGGAGCCTGGGATCGTGTTTCTTTTGCCCAACACACCACTTTGGCCCTTACCTCACCTAGACGGGTGGTAGAATCGGCCCGATTCTATCAATCGGCTGGTCACGCCAAGCCCTGTGCATATTGATTGTCATTATTGCACCTTTTTACTACTGGGCCTTGGTTATTTGAAATTTCAATATTCAAATTATCAATATGTTTCATTGCCTAGAGTCCTTTGCCAGAAGACGGTGGTTCATGGGCAAATCTGGTTATATAGACCCCTCAATTACGTGTTCTTAAGAACTGTGTCATGGGCAGGACCAGTCTGGCACTTTTTCTTTAAGATATCATGGCTTTTCATGTCTATGTATTCTGGAGTATGACACCTTTGTTGTTACAGGTTGGCTTCCCCTGCACCACCGTCCTTGTTGACACTCGATGGCGGGTTGGCAGCAAGGGTGTTGAATCCTATTATATCACCATGGCTAAACACACACAATCTGGTTCATCCAAGAATTACAAAAGGAGACATGTAGATTGTGTTTCATCTGAAGATGAAGCAATTCCTACCAATAATACTTCTTGGCCTCGGTTTATTGTTATCACTTCTGCTGATGGTAGCCCGATGAAATTGAATCCGTTTGCCATTTCCAAAGGCATTGAAAGTATTTGTGGAGTGGTGAAAATGTTATACACCTTCGAGGCGGTTCTCTCTTAATTGAATGCGCACGGAGGCAACAAATCTGTTAATCTGCTGGGATTACAGCAATTTGTTAACACCAAGGTACACTCTCAATTCCTGTCAAGGTATCATTAGAGATTTTGCTCGTGTTCTCTCTGATATGGACGAAAATGAGATTGTTGCTGAACTAAAATATCAAGGTGTTACATCAGTAAAGCGTTTCAACCCCCCCAAAAATGAGAAAATATTCAAAACAAACACAGACTTGTTCGACCGCCTCCGTGGTGTAGTGGTTACAGCGTCCGCCCGGAGAGCGGAAGGTCGCAGGTTCGATCCCCGACCGCGTCATACCAAAAGACGTTAAAATATGGTACTTGTTGGTCCCTGCCTGGCGCTCGGCATTAATGGGTACAACAAGGACTGGTCGGCTCGGAGTCAGTATAATGTGTTGGAGTGGGGTATTCATGCTTCACTGCGGGATGGTATCTCAGTGGGCTAGCACTATAAAACCAGCTTAAGTCTGGGCTAGTACAAGAAGCCGCACATGCACATACACACGCATGCACGTCGTCGTATGAGCGAAATATTCTCAAACACGACGTAAAACCCAATTTCACCTCACCTCACCTCACATGCTTGTTCTTCAACCAATTCCAAGATCAATTAAAGCTGGATACTTCAACATTGGGGTGGAGGTATACATACCAAACCCACTCCGATGCTTTAAGTGTCAGAAATTTGGTCATGGTGCAAAATCCTGCACTCGCAACACTGTATGTGTCCGTTGTGCTGGCACACATTAGAGCTCAGATTGCACTAATGACACCAACAAATGTGCAAACTGCGAAAATGACCATGCTGCTTAATCCAAAATCTGCCCTCGATATGTTCAAGAATCTAACATTCTCAAAATAAAGTATACTCAAAATATTTCTTACCAAGAAGCAATAAAACTGGTTCAGCCTCCCTCCGTAACTACTTTTGCCAAAACGTATTCTCCTACAGTTTCATCTACAGCTCCAGCTCCTGTTCACAAAGTTCTTACCGTTTCGAAAAGTTGTCAAACAACCATATCATGGGTGAAAGACGAGCAGATTACATTTGGTGATACTACTCACAGTCACAATGATTCAAATTGTTATACTTCAGCTTCACAGACCATGATCACTGAATCTGACATAGAACCAGAAATTGGAAGTGAAAACATTCTGGACGATGTCCATTTAACGCAAAAGGAAAAAAAAAAGATGAGACGACTCAGGGGCCTACACAATTTGAAGGTTCCTCTTTCTTCATCATCCCCTGTTGAGGTCCATAACTCATTTGGGCTTCTTGATATGGAGGTACTCCCTTCGCCTCCAGTGCAAGGGTGTGGAGCTCCACCCTGGTCTAGATCACCAGTCGAGCCACCATGAATAGCTCCTGTAACATTATTCAATGGAACTGTAGAGGACTTAGGAATAATCTAAAAGACTTACAGTTATTAATACAAGACATAGGGCCTTCAGCAGAAAATTGATACAGCATGTTGTTTATTTACTAAAGCATTGTTAACAAAGGATTCTAAACGTACCAAATGATCAATGGTACTACGATTTTTCCTGAAAACACATTGAATATTTGTTATGAGGTTATTGGTTTCAAGATACCAAGTTAATCTATTATTCACGATACGTTCCATGGTTTTACAGACACAGCTAGTTAGAGATATAGGTTTGTAATTCGACGGATCTGTATGATCCTTGCCAAGTTTTGGAATTGGGACTACAATGGCATTACGCCACGAAGGAGTAAATTCTCCAGACGTCCATATTTGGTCAAATATATCTAAAAGTGTCATCAGACATGGTTCAGGCAAGTGTTTCAGAAGCTGATAATGTATATTATCATCACCCGCTGCAGTGTCATGAGCTTGCTCAAGAGCAGTATGTAGCTCATGTAATGAAAACACTTCATTATAATCCTCACCGTTATTTGATTCGAAATTAAGTTTTGTCTTTTCCTGTTGTTTCTGATATCTCTGAAACTCAGGGACATAATTTGCCGATGATGAATTTTGTGCAAGGGTTTCGCCATTTTTATTTGCAATTTTAGACTTGTCAGTAATTAAATTATGTACAGATTTTGAGGCTTTGCCTTTAATTCTTTGAACCATGTTCCATACCTTAGACACTGGCATGCGTGAATTAACTTTTGAGACATAATTTCTCCAAGATTGTCATTTGTTTTGTTTAAAGGTACGACGCGCCTTTGCATAGAGTATTTTAAATTTATTTAAGTTATGGACAGTTGGATGATGGCGGAAATAACGCTCTGCCTTTTTCCTCGCTTTTCTGGCTTGTCTACAATCTGTATTAAACCATGTTTTTCGTACATGTGGAGTCGTAAAGGAGAATAAGTGCCAGTTGCAGGATGCAGATAGATGCTTAAATCATCATTAAATATGCACAGGTCATTATTGGAAATGAAATCTTCAAGTATTTTGCCTTTAGTATTAGTATTAGTACTGCCCCAGAATGGGTTGTGACCGTTTAGGTCACCCATAATAACACATGGTTTCGGGAGTTGATCATAGAGTGATTGAAGATCAGTCTGTTGAAGTGCCAATGAAGGCGGAATATACAGAGAGCATAATGTAAATGCTACACCCATAGTAAGTCGCACTGCAACAGCTTGGAGATTAGTGTTAAGTGTAACAGGGATGTGAATAACATCCTGTCGTATAAGGATAGTACAACCTCCAGTGGCCCTATCACCCAGAGGGGAAAAATAATGATAGGCTTCAAACTGACGTAAGCTAAAATTATTTGTCCGTTTCAGATACGACTCTTGCAGACAGAACCCTGATGGTGTTAAATCCTAGATCTATAGCTGTATTTCATTAAAGTTTGTCCGTAGTCCTCTACAGCTCCACTGCACGATATGTTAAGATAGACCTATCTTTTAGGTGGATAAATAGAGGATCTATCCCGCACCTTTTTCGAGGGCGACAAGCTATGTGCCCTAGAATGGACGTTTTCGGACACGTCCATGCCCTCCAGTGATCTGTATTTGTTAAATAATTTGATTTTATCATCTTACCCTTTTGATATGGCTGAAATATTGCGGAGGTGACGTTAAATTCTAACTCACTCACTCAGTCACTCTGACCCTTTTGGGGCTCTGCCACTTTGTTTCTTCAAAGAATCTGGCTTCGGTTTGCCTTTGTTTTTAACTATTTGTTGAACGTTTCACGTTGATTGAGACCTTTGACGGTCATAAGATGGTTCTGATTGGATTTGAGGGGTGTCAGAAAGTGTTTCTGCAGTTTGTGTAGATATTGCAGATGACAAAATCTTCGGAGAATCTGTTTTTATCCAAGTCAAGTTCTTCTGACAGCTGGCAGATGATTTAGTTAATGCTGGGTTTGTGTCAGAAGATGTTTTGGCTTTGGAAGCATAAGTTTCCTTAATTTCCGATCTCAAGACAAGCTTTTTGGCATCAGCAAAACTGATATTTTGAGTAAACTTGATCTTATTTATCTCCATCTGCTGTTCCAAATGGGACAATCTTTTGAGAACGATGAGTGATCACCTGCACAATTGGTACACTTCTTAAAGGTACTGACACAATCTTCTGTTGTATGTGTCTTCTCACCACAGTGAGCACACACAACAGACAATGTGCAAGTATTAACACCGTGTCCGTATTTCTGACATTTGAAACATCGCAGAGGACTTAGGATGTACACGTCAACTTTTATATTGCAGTAACATGCCTTGACTGATGGTGGAGGATTCGGGGCAGAGAAAGAAACGAGATATGTATTTGTTTGCACAGTTTCATTATTTTACGGGTTGTAAACCTTTTAACGTAAAGGACTCCTTGATCTTTCATCTCCGTTACAATATCAATTTCCGTCATATCTGCAAAGAGACGATCTCGGTCTCGTACAATATCCTTACTGGTGTTCAGTGTTCTGTGTGCAGAGACCATAACCGGAACTCCTACAAACAGCTCTGTGGACAGCAGGTTGGTTGCTTGCTGTTTTCTGTGACACTCGAGTAATAGAGCTCCTGTACGCAAGCGTTTAATGTTTTAATTTCACCTGCTATGAGGGGGACACCTTTTGATACTGCAAACGGATTTAGCTTCAATGGAGTTTTATCAAGAGTCTCAAGAACGAGAAAACGTGGCCAGTAATCAATGGATGTTGAGGGTCACTGTTCGTCGTCATCAGTATCGAGGGTTTTTTTTGTTTGAGGTTTCGTAAGCCATGTTGAGTTTATTTTGATTCGTCATCTGAGCTCCCCACCCACCACGGAGTATCATAAAGACAATGCTGATCGCAAGAGAATTTCCAACTTGCAGCACCAAGGATACCCGGATGATATACTTAAGCAGAATAATCAACAAGTAATTATTCCACTAGATTGGCCCATGAGCCACTGCCTTCAGGACATAGGACTCTAGGCAAAATACTAAATTGGAGTTGTACAGTCAAAATACAAATATATCATCATGAAGTCGAGACAAATGACAAACTGTTTCCAAATAATTTTAAAAATATGTACACCAAAATTTACATGTACAGGGCTTAGCATGACCAGCCGATTGATAGAACTGGGCCAGTTATACCACCCGTCTAGGTGAAGTAAGGGGCGAAGTGGTGTGCTGGGCAAAGGAACACTGTTCCTGGAACCAGTGCCCTCAACCACCAGACTTCCGTCCTCCATCGACACAGGGGCGCAACCCACGACAAACGGGTTGGTGGACCAAATATACCCCCGGGTCCACAACGGGGGGTTGAAGAGCGCTGAGCGTTACCCAGCACTCACCACGAGGAGGTGGCTCTTCACGGGTGCCAGGAAGCTAAAGACCTGATCACGTCTGTTTTAAACAAAACACTGGACACTGGGCACCAGTTTGTGAAAGCAACATCACTGTCATAATCTTTACTTCTTGAATAAAGTAACTGTGCATTATTTGATGTTATGTCGTGTTTTAATGCGAAAAGATAATAACATGATTTGTGGTGTTTTCCTACACCATTGTGTAAGTATTGACAGGATAATATCGACATTTCTATGATTTGACTTCAGACATCTTGACACACCCTTAACGAGATGTGGTTTCAAAAGTCAGTTGGCAAATTCAGCATAGTGTGTGTCCACCATTGGCGTTGATGCAGGCTTGACAACGACGACGCATAGACGAGGGAATGCCTGAACTAACGCTTGTTCAAATTGAGCTGACGTCAATGGCTGATTCTAGGCTTGACGTAAACGTCATTCTAATTATTCCAAGCGTGTTCGATAGGGAACAGGTGCGGAAAAACAGCTGGCCTGGGGAGTACCGGGATGTTCTGCTGTCTCGGGACAATTGCCATTGACAATAACAAGTTGTGTTCGAACATGTGATGTGATGCTTCCCGTTACCATAACACTCACGCCACGGAACTGTGGACGTTGAACAACACATTCGTCGGCATACCGTTCACCTCGCCCTAATCAAAACATTTAAGTTGTCCAGATGAAATTTCGACTCGTCAGTGAACAAAACACCATCCCCTGTTACGTAGATGGTGTCTGCACCAGGCAATATGTGCCTTTGGTGACCATGAAAACAAATTAAACGTATTGCAGGCCGTTGGGGCCGGATTGGTGCTCTGCACAGTCCTGGAACTGATTGAACATAAACCAGGAATGGTCCGAGCAGTCAAACTGGCACTCTGGAATCGATTCCTTAGATGGGTCAGCCGAATGTGGTCCAATTTTGCTGACTTGTCGTCACACGTGGACGGTCGGTCCGAGGCAAATCTGGCAGTTCAGGTTGAAATTAACGTGTGTTTTTTTAACATTCAGAGAAAAATCAAGTGTGTGAATTTCAGGAGTCAAAAACCATACAAAAAGTGCGTAAGTGCACGTGCCACGCGCGATACATGACATCAATTTTCATGCAAAGTGCTTTGTTACATGTTTATTTCGGGTTATATTTATGACTTTTAAAAAAAATCATTTCATGCAATTATATGTTCAGCCCAGTTACTCTTTTCCGTTAGTATATGTTGCGAAACTACTTTCTATATTTTCAGAGAATCTTTTGCACCTGTTTTCTTTCAGATCATTATATACATTTGTGCCAGTTTAGGTTTGATGTGTAACAATATCACTCATCATAAGCTACGCATCTTTCACAGTTCAGGGTAAGTCCAGGACTGATGCTAAAAACAAACTGTTAATCTGACTGCAGATTTCTTCTTACGGCGACCCCACCTTTCCTTTCTCTGTCTTGTGACCCGTGAAGGTCCGGGTTAGAATTGATCTTCAGTAACCCATGCTTGTCGTAAGAGGCGACTAACGGGATCGGGTGGTCAGGCTCGCTGAATGGGTTGACACATGTCATCGTATCCCAATTGCGTAGATCGATGTTCATGATGTTGCTCCCTGGATTGTCTGTTGCAGATTCGATTATTTTCAGACCGCCGCCATATAGATGGAATATCGCTGAGTGCGGTGTAAAACTAAACTCACTCACTCATTTTCTGTCTTGTAGCTGTGGCCGTTCTCTCCGGGGAGTTGAGTTAAGAATGTGATGCCTCCATCCACATCATCAACCTAGCAATTACTGGACCCTTGGTAATCTCGCTGTTCCTATCAATGCCTATCATCTTCCCAATACCAGTGACAGTGGATCAATCTATTATTATAACAATACAGCGTTTGTCTCACAGAATAGCAGTGTAGCAGTGTACACTCACAAGACGAACTCACAAGACGAATTCTGTAATAGTTTTAGTTCAACTGTAATGTTCGGGTTTTCCGTTTTAGCTTGCTCAGGAGTGATTGTTTTTTCAGGATATATACTTGCACAAAAGTACTTTCAAAATGATATAGACAGGAACGAGAAGCAACTGGAGGAGAAGAGAGTAAACACAGTGAGCATGACTGATGGCATATTTTAATTCATTATAATGGTCTACACTATAATCTGTGGGATGTTGATGTTTGTATATGGTCAATTCTTACCAATTTGGCATCCACAGTAAACTAAACTCATGGGCCAAAGAAAATATAGGACTGGAAAAAATATTTTTTCACTGTCATTGACATGGTTATGAGAATTAGGCATGCTGGCAATGTTGGCCTCACTACTGGGAAGGGAAATACACCGCCAAAACGCAACACGTTCGAACGGTGAGAGGGATGACGTCACAAATGTGGAAAGTATGTTCCATGCTCGTAGCACGTAATGCACGTGCAAAGTTTCGGTATAAATGCGATGCATCGGTCCCGTCATATTACAGCTGCTGAAAACACATGAAAAATATGCCACGACTGACGCCAGAAAGGAGAGAGAGGGCCATAGGGATGTCCGATATGGGAGCGACGAACGTCAGAATTGCAAGAAGATTTGGTTGTACGCCACTGACCATAGCAAGACTTCTCCAACGATTCAGACAGACAGGTCGAACACAGGACAGGCCGAGGAGTGGACGTCCACGTGTAACCAGCGCACGTGAAGATCACCATATACGTCTGATACACCTCCGAAATCGATTTGTTACGGCAACGTCAACGGCCGAAACAGCGTTGGGACGTCGCATCAGTCGAAGGACTGTCCTCAGACGTTTGAGAGCAGGTGGAATACGTTGCTATCGACCATTCCGTGGAATGAGACTAACTCAACAACATCTACTTGACAGACTGCAATGGGCAAGACGAGTATACCGCTGGCAAGTGCGTGATTGGCGTAGGGTCCTCTTCACCGATGAAAGTCGGTTTGTCTGCACAAACATGACTGCCGACAGAGAGTTTACAGGCGACGGCGTGAACGTTTTGCAGCAGCATGCATTCAAGAAGTCCATGCCTATGGTGGAGGTGGTGTGATGGTATAGGGTGGGGTGGCATTATTGGCGACCAAACGACACCCTTGGTCGTTATTCAGGGGAATCTCAATGCTAATGAGTACCGAAATCAAGTCTTGCAGCCTGTCGTCTTACCTTTCTGGAACAATCAACCAAATGGTGTATTGCTTCAGCAAGACAATGCAACTCCCCATACAGCAATAGCGACAATAAAACTTTCTTAATCAGAATAACGTTCTACCCTGGCCTTCTCGATCACCAGATATGAATCCGATCGAGCATTTGTGTGATCATTTGGGAAGACAAATTCGTGGTCGTCATCACCCACCACAGACAAGAAAAGAGTTGATAGTGGCACTGAGGGACGAATGGCAGCGACCGCCAAATGAAGTCATCCGACGCTTGACGACATCGATGCGACGACGTGCACGAGCGTGCATCGAGGCTGCTGGCGGACACACACTCTACTGACGTTGTGATCGTTCTGGAACAAACTTTTCTGTCTTTTGTGTGCGCAATTCGTCAAAGGAATATCATTGTAACTTTGATATTTACCCCCTGACTGTTTGAATGTCAATGTCACCTTTCAGTTCTTTCAACCAGGTGATGATTTGTACACACAGCAAAGTGCAAATGAATTTGCTACAAATTACATCTATTACATAATCCAAATCTTGTGTTGTGTCTGTTTTACTGATCTTCAAAATGACCTATTCTTTCTTTTGCCCATGATTTTACGTATTAGATGGAGGAGACCACACGACTCAAACAGTAGGGGTATTGAGCGACACACCGAGGAAGTGTGGGTACATCTGACTTATACCTCACTTCTGGTCGAGCTACGAGTTTACTAAAACGCTTTATATTCTAAGAATGACGAAAAATGTATTTGTTTTCCATCGGTTTCATTTATTTTTAGCCCACTGGTTAAGACCCTCAAATGTCCCGCGTCTAAAGTCTGTTTGCAGTGAAAACGTACCGATCAATTTCACTTTAAACAAAAAAGTAATCAAATAAAGTGAAATTAAGATTGCGAATCTCATGAATTCTCATCTCATTTATATTCAACTTAGAATAAAATTTGTTTAACAAATGATCATAGTTTCAAATCAATATTATTGGTTTGTATTACAATTTTAAGGGGGTAAGCGCAGTAGTTGGAACAGTGAAATAAATGCCCGTGGGGTACGTAATGAGCGTTAACTTCGACCAAACCTACATGTTCTCGGTGTTCCATTTAATGCGCATACCCCCTTGTAATATAAACCAATAACAGCGCTTTGAAACTATGATCATTTGTTAAACAACTCTTATCCTAAGCTGAATATAATTCTGAGATTTAAATGTTCAGTAGGCAAGGTAAAATTATGGGGATTTGCAATCTTAGTTTCACTTTATTTGATTTACTTTTTTAAGTGATATTCATCGGTACGTTTTCACTGCAAACGGACTATAATCAGTCAATTGCACGTGCATGCACCGGCCTACACGATTTTAGAAACCAGTCGGGCGCGAGAATGATTTCAAGTAGCCCCAAATATGCGCAATATTACTGATAATTGACATTTGTATGGGCAGACCAATGCGCATGCGTTCTCTGACTCGCATGTGGCATAGAAAACATTTGGAAGATCACACGTTCGTCGGCCAAGGATGCTGAAGAGTGGACAGAGGATTTTCTTTCTCAAATTGAAAGTTCGTTAGCGTCACATTTCGACCTGGATGATAAGGAAGATTTTAAGTTAACGACTGATCAAGACAACCGCCGCCGCAAGAAATACCAAAGTAAGCAAGTATGGCACCACAGCAAGTGAAAAATATGTATTTGTTCCCCCACTTTCAATTGACATAACCAATGATGTTCACCATATCCAGCAATGTCATTAAAGAACATTTGTATTGGAATATGGCGATATATTCGTGATGAGTACAAGCGATACGACTTAAACCTTTTTGATCTGAAACTGGCTACTTTTGCAGGCTTTGGAGCTACTTTGGATGCAAAAATGAAAAAGTTGAATTCGGATGGAGTAGGCGCAGTGAAGACACAGGCAGAGCCAGTTTCACTTTTGCAGGAAGAAAAACTATGGGAAGCTGGGTGACGATGCCCAGTCACTGTGTAACGCAGTCTATTTTTATAACTACAAGGTCTTTTGATTACGTGCCGCTGATGAGCACTCTAATCTGAATGTGGCTAATTTTCATTTTGGATCTGATGACCAGGGAGAGTATGTGGAGTTTAGAGGTGGAACCTGTAAGAACAAGCATTGTCACTAAGGTGACATAATCCCCCTCCGCAAATTATCAAATCAAACTTATAAAGTAATGAAAGTTTAAGATGAAGTTAAATGTCAACAAAAACATGACCAGTCAACCTCTCTTGATATCTTGCTGTTTAGTTGTTCAAACACACACATATTTTCAACACTGACTTGGACCTTGACATGAATGTCATAGTGTATGAAATATGCAAAACTAGTACTAAAGAAATTGCTTATTGAAAAACATTCAAGGGAGGTCTTGAAAGTTTATGAAGAAAATCCAGTGAACCGTTCTTAAAATATCTTGCTGACAATTCAGGTTAACATGCTGAAATCTTCAAAGTGTCGTCGTGACCCTTAATATTATGTGAAGGTCACCAAAATTGACTGGGCCCTGGGCCTTCCCTGGATGAAGCTTGGTGACAAATATGAAGAATATCCACTAAATAATTTGTGCGATATCTTGATGACTATCTTAACGTGCGATTTAACATGCTGAAATATTCAAAGTGTCTATGTGACCTTGAAAATTAGGTGAAGGTCACCAAAATCGACTGGGCCCTGCGCCTTTTCTGGATGAAGCTTGGTGTCAAATAATAAGAAACTCCTGTGAATGGCTCTTGAGGTATCGCGCTGACAAGCATAACATGTAGGTTAATATGCTGAAATCTTCAAAGTGTCTCTGTGACCTTGAGAATTATGTGAAGGTAACCAGAATTGACTGGGCCCTGCGCCTTCCCTCGCTAAAGCGTGGTATTAAATATGAATAAAATCCAGTGAAGGGTTCTTGAGATAGCTTAATATGCAGGTTTACATGCTGAAATATTCAAAGTGTCGCGATGACCTTGAACATTATGTTACATAATTATTACATTATCAGGGAAAATGAGAAAACATGAATAGGGAAAAAGCTTCTGTTGCACCGACATGTTAGAACTTTTCGTGATAACAGACGATGGCATGTGCATTTCATTGGTCAATTTCCGTATTTCAGTTAATTCCAATTTCTGAACTTTTTAATGTTAATCTATGTATGTGTTTCGAATGGCATGTTGCTTTTGCATACTGAATTCTCTTTACAGACAATTAAGGCAGTACGCACAACCTACGAATAGTAGATGCTACATCAAACTACTTCGCCGCTACCTGCAGTATATATACCCGCAGAGGGGAGCTTCTACCGTCGACCACTCCTAGCAAAGGGGGACCAGAACATTCGCTTTTCACAGAAGAAAAGTTGGGGTACATACTTTTGAGAAGCTGTTCCGCAACATATGCTTGTCAGCTGGTTTAGAGGGTGACGTACCGGCCATTCGGGAAAGGCACTGTATCGGTATTGTGCAAACATTTGATTATATTTGTATAATATTCACCTTTCCTGTGATTGGTGTTCCATCTCTCATACCTGTGAAACAGAAGGTGTCCCCCTTAATAAGTACAAATGTATATCACTACAAGCTATTCATATATTTATCCACGAAAGTTAACACATTAATTTCGTTTAGGTGACCACAGCCACTAGACTTTTCAACGAGAAGGTGGATGAAAAACTTGTGATGGAGAGGACGGAACACCGTAGTACCACGGTACGCGCCTACAAGAAGACATCGTCAGAGTTGCAACAAGAAATTTCTAATATGTTGCAACCACCCATGCCACAGGTGAAGAATGACCACTCGCCAAAGCCGAAAATCACAAAGTTGGAGACAAGTTCAACGGTTACCCAGTAGCTACACTCCTTTCTAAGTGCTCGCCTTCAAAGAAACGGGTTGTAATAAAGTATTGTAATGAAACAGGTGAAACAATCGAAATCTCAATGCAAATCCATTGAAATAAACTTATATTTCGCCGTTTGTTGTGTCTTTATTTCTTCGGTGAGTGAGTTAATACTTAACGTCACATCGGCAATAGTTCAGCCATATCGTGACGAGAACATTTGATATTGAAATGAAACACATGAACATTATAAAAACCTGTCGACGAAGGACAGTAAAACAACTAGATTATCACAATTAAAATTAAAACTTGCGTGGAAAGTTTAAAACTAATAGCACTATTGGGACAATACAATATAAAATCAGGCTATAGATCGCCAACAACAGAAGGTAGATCACCATACTAGGGTCAACAAATCTAATTCATTTAAAAATTCAACTATTAAATGATAATTAACATTATAAAAAAGATCCTTCAATGTTTTGACATTAAAATACTTATCCCTTGTGATGGAATATTCAACACAGTATTTCTTCGGTATACCCTAGTGAAAAAGTGTAGGTGTATCATTGATACACCTACACTCTTGACAGGTGTACCGGTCAATACACCTACACTTTTAACAAAGGAAACAATGGCAACGAGACCGGAAGTGGGGTATAAATGCAAGTAATACAAAGATGGCAAAATATGCCGATATCATATAATGCCTCATCCTCGATAATCTCCAGAATATACGTTACAATGACTCTCCACTATACCCTGGATGCATCTACTGTTTGGCCCGATGATTGTATTATCTCCCTTTGCTGGTCCCCGCATTCTCACAGTAAACAATCAGATAAGCCGCTGTTACAAACGAGCTTGCCAGTGTCAACAAAAGTAGCGTTCGCAGCCGCCAACGTTTGTTCGCAGTGCGACTCAGATTTTGGGAAAAACCATACAGACAAATTGACAGATCTGAAACCTTAAAAACATATATGCAAGAACTCCTTCTTTCAGAGTATCTGCAACAATATGTTATTGTGTTGACAAGATTAATCGGTTAGATAATTTAAAAAGCGAAAGTAATTTGTGATTGGTACGCTCAACTTCCCAGCGTAGACACCTGATTCGATAAAAAGCCAACCAAGGGAGGTACAAAAATCATCGGGCTGAGCTGAAGATGCATCCAGGGTAAAGTGGAGAGTTATTGTAACGTATACCCTGGGGATTATCGATGATGATTATGCCTGCATTATAATTGGACGTTTGCTTCGAATACTTTGTAGTCAAGTTATATCACAGATTATGCTCATCAACGTCTGCACAGCTGGAAGCATACTGATGTCTGTCATACTTGTGTACGTATGCGAAATAGATATCACATGCTTGTGGATAGGGACAAGTATTTTAGCAATAGTATGTGCCCCTGTTTTTCCGGCAGTTCAGACGTGGGCTCTTGACACCAATACACACAGAAACATATTGTATGGTATATCATCCATAGTTGATATGGTAGGATATGCTGTCATATCTCTTCTGACTGGACAACTGATGGCAAACATATTTGTACAAATGTTAATGTTATGCTTGTAGTATCGTTAGTGCAGTTTTTATCAATTGTGTTATTATATCTGATAGTATGTAACCAGGTCAAGTCAGAGACTCAAGGATATTTACATGTTGAGTGAGGTTTCTTCACTGCATATCTTTAGGATCAAGTGGATTATTATGTCCTACCCGATATTCTGTGCTTGTCCTCAGATGCGGCGAAAAATGGCTCCTTTATCTTAAGTAAGTGGTGAGTAAGCTAAGTTATACACCGGTTTGGGCTTCCAGCGATATCACTGGGTGGGACACCAGAAATGGTCTTCAAAAATGGAGCACATGGGGGGTAACGCTTTAACAACTAGACTACCCCATTGCCCCATTTATTTAAAAACTGCTTTAATATAGTTGACATTTTACTGGGTTCGGCGATAAACAAAATATAGCAATGAAATTTCTCAAAATGTAAATTTCACGTGATTTTGATTTCCATTTAATGTCAATTTAGACTTTTCAATTTGTTTGGGGATCCCTCTAACCAGTTGAATTCCACACCTTCTGACTTACACAAGCCTATAGGCTGTAACCTTCCCAACTTCCTGTTGTTAGAAAAGATCATAATCACATGCCAACGACAACACAAAACGTACATTAGGATATAACGAACTAGTTTGGTGTTGAACATGTCCGGGTGTTCAGGGCCAAAAAGAAAGCAAATGCCTTTAAAAGCTTACAGAGAAAAAACTATTTGACAATCTTGGAAAGATGAGGTTTGCAAGACATTTACAAGTTTTGAAATGTCCACAAGGGGAGATAACTCGTGGGCGATGATAATGATTGTTCTTAGTCAAGACATAATCCCTTGTTAATTGATGAGTGAGTCAATTCAGTTTTAAGACAGCCTCTGGAAGTAAGTTATTAAATTTGCTGAGCTGTGGGTTTGTGTTCATGTCGCGATGTGATTATCGCCCTAATACACCTAAGAGATTCGTCAGCAGAGTGGTATGCACAGGCGATAAAAAATGTATTGTATTGAATTTGGTTGATTGTATATTGTTTTTAGTTGAGCTGTCAGTTTGTACGGTATCTGTGAATGAGGAACCTCGCCCATTATAACATTGAAATCAAACTGACCTTGACAATATTCCATGGTCAATATCACAATGTTGGTGAAATGGATGTATACGGAAGTTTGTTTCACAATTTTGATAATCCATTCTTTTATGCAGATCAAATTAATTAAAGATGAACGAATAATGTCATGCTTCTCTCAGAGTGAGGGAAGATAATTTATATAGTGTTTCTTATCGAATTAGATATTTCTTATTTCGTCCGAGTGAGTGAGTTATAATTTATCGTCACATCGGCAATATTTCAGCCATATGTTATACATAGTAATTTATGGTAAATTCTAAAAACCTGTCATCGAAGGACAGTAAAACCACAGACTAGAATACTAGTATCACAATGTCAAGAAATGAAACTAGCATATATCTCTAAAATAGGATTTCAGATTAGGACAATACAATACAAAAAAGTTTGTCGACCGAATAGAATTCACAAATGACGTATGTTTTGTGTGCGTGTGTGTGCATACACTCATATATAACATCAAAACTGATAGCTATTGAAAATCAGGCCGTTTATAAACATAATGACTGTATCGGTTGAAACACTTGAAGAACGAAAACATTTTCACACTTCAAAATGAACTAGAATAGTAACATTTTTCATGTCATCATAGGGGCTTAAAAACATTTAAAGAAATAATGCTGTATGATGAAATTGATCATGGAACATTATAATGGCATAAATGACGCTTTAATGACACATGTAATGGTAAAAATATATAATCACTATGTTAATTAACTCATGACCAGACACGTCAAACTTGTACCGGTAGATTTATATCTAATTTGTAAAGATTAAGTAAGTCTTAATAACTGAAATATAATTACAAGAATTTGGAATGAGATGTGTTAATTTGAGATGTGTTTGTTACATAGCAGTTTACTAAAGTTGAACTTAAATCAAATTCAAAAGATTGATCATTCGCAAACTGAAGCAGATCCCACTTATACTGCAGTAAACAGTATGGGGATAGCTAACGAAGCATACCACTTATGCGATAACAACTCCCTGTTTATTGCATAGAGCGGCATTTCGATGTACATCGTTCAGGATAAACCAGCTGATTGAATGTTGATTCCATCACTTGAACAATGGAGTGGATTTCGACTTTGACATACTGAAGTTGATTTACAGATAGGATCTGTCAATCAGCTGTTCAATTACGTAACAGTTCATTGAATCACACAAACAGGTAGGAACCCCATCGGATAATGTGTCAAACAGATCCTCCATAGCCCTTTTCCACTTAACACCAACCTACAATCTGTTGCTGTCCGCATTACACTGAACTAGGATTCACTCTATCTTCCTCCTTCCTCAACTATCCGCGTATCAGATCTTCAGAACTTGTATGATCCACTCCCGAAGCCCTGCATAATCATAGGCGAATTGAACGACCATAACCCCCTATGGGCGAGTACCCATACAAACAACAAGGGAAAGACCCTGGAACATACTCTGCTCTTGGTCTATCACTTACAGATTCTATTTTTTAAACAAGTTTGAATGGTCCATCCACGATGACCTTTGTGGAAATGACCACTTCCCAACAATTCTTACTCCTATCAATACTGCGGATCAACCACCTTCAACAAGTTGGAATTTTACTAAGGCCAATTGGCCATTATTCCAAACCCTATGCTCTGAAAAACTTGAACCTGAAAATTTCAGAAATGTTCCTGATCCCATGGAACTATTTTCAGACGTCTTGAATATGCCATTGGAGACAAAACCATTCCTAAATCCTCTGCAAACCCGCACATACGCAAACTATGGTTTGATACAAACTGCAAACACGCTATCAAAAGTAGGAAGAAGTCGGAAAAAATATTCCCGACAACATCCTACTGTGCATAACCTGAATGATGTTAAAATGACAAATGTCAGGGCAAAACGTACCTTTATGCAAACAAAACGCCGGTCATGGAGGAGATATGTGTCCAAAATCAACTCCCGCACACCCATGTCTAAGGTGTGGACCATGATTCAAAAGATTAAGGGCAAAGAATCAAAATCTCGTGTTCGCCATCTCAAAGACGGTGACTCTCCTTTAACCAATAAATTTGAAATTACAAACAAACTTGGAGAAACTTCGGCAAACCAGTGAATTTTAACTCTGATAATGGTGAGGATTACAATGAAACGTTTTCTCTCCATGAATTACGTACTCCCCTGGGACAGGCTCACAACACTGTGGCAGGGGCTGATGATATTAATTAAGAGCTTCTGAAACACCTACCTGGAAACACTACTCAATATATTTGATGACATTTGGACAACCGGAAACTTTCCTCCTTCTTGGCATAATGCCATTATCATCCCTATACCAAAACCTTGCCGGGATCATACATCCTACATCACTAATTAGCTGTGTTTGTAAAACCATGGAGCACATGGTCAACAATCGGTTAATCTGGTACTTGGAGACCATTAACTTCCTTAGTGACCTCCAGTGTGGTTTCCGAAAGAACCGAAGTACCACTGACCACTTGCTGCGTTTGAAATCATTTCACAAAAATTCCAATGTCAACAAACAACATACCGTATCTATCTTTTTTTACCTAAAAACATATGATACAACGTGGAAACATGGTGTCTTGAGAGATTTGCGTGAATTTGTATTGAGGGGCAGATTACCTCAGTTAATATAAGTTTTAAATAACAGACTATTTTAGGTACGGGTGGGTTCCACATTGTCGGATTGCTTCAAATCAAGACCAGGTCGTCCCTTAAGGCAGCATCTTGTCTGTCACACTTTTTAGCATCAAAATTAACAGCCTCACTAACGTCTTGAACAGTTGTTTTGATGGGTCCCTTTTCGTGGATGAATTCAATATGTCATGCCGTGGTAAGAATATGCACGCAATAGAAAGGTAGCTACAACTCTGCCTTAACAAAATCCAAAAATGGGCCAATGAAAATGGCTTTGGGTTTTCAAAATCCAAAACAAACCATATTCACTTTGTCATAAATTCGAACCACACAAGGATCCAGACCTATCTTACTCCCGTCAAGGTGGTAGAAGAGGCTAAGTTCCTGTGACTCATATTCGATCGTCACTTGACATTCTTACCACAAATACAATATTTGAAAACAAACTGCTTGAAGGTTCTTCAATTGCTAACAGTCGTTTAAATACAGAGTGGGGACGGGATCAAACTACCCTCATTCACTTGTACAGATCATTGGTTCGCTCTAAGCAAGATTATGGCTCAGTTGTCTAAGGTGGAGCCTGCAAAAGCAATTTAGAAAAAATCGGATCCTGTCCACCACCAAGGCCTCAGGCTCTGTCTGGGAGCTTTTACGACCTCTCCGGTAGACAGTCTATATGCGGAGGCTAAAGAACCTTCCCTTAAACAACTTAAACTTTCACTGCAGTATATCACTAAACTACGTTCAAATCAGTCCAATCCAGCATACAGTTGTGTTTTCAACACTCTCTATGAAAACCTGTTTTCTAATCTGCTAAGCGTGGTTCCACCACTTGGAATCAGAATACAACCGCACATATCTGCAGCTAACATTGATCTCAATATCATAGCACCTTACCGGCTTCTGTCTTCGCCACCCTGGTAGATGGTGAAACCACAGGTCTATCTTACCCTCACAAAACTCAAAAATTGTATAAATTGTTTTTGTCACGATATGGCTGAGATATTGCCGATGTGACGTTAAATTTTAACTCACTCAAAAACTCAGAAACAACATGAATACAACCAGTTACGTTCCAAGTAAAACACCCATAGATCCATTTTCACAGACGGATCCAAGGATGATGGCCAAGTTGCCAGTACAACAGTCATTGGATCCAAGACTGTCTCCTCCAGAATTCCCGACAATAGTTTTACTGCTGAGGCCAAAGCTATCTTCACGGCTTTGACCTATATTAAACAGCAGAATCATTCCAAAAACTTCATCCTTTTTATAGATTCATTATCTTGCCTTCAAGCACTTCAAAATAAACTCGAGTCACCTTATCATCCTATACATTTTAGAACTTTACAACGATCTTTCTACTGGCCAATGTGACATTGTCCTCTGCTGGTTGCCGGGTCACGTCGGCATAGCAGGTAACACAAAGGCCAATGCTGTAGCTAAAGCAGTTCTTGACAAGCCCTTATCTCCACTACTGATCCCGTACAGTGGTACTATCACTAGGAGGGGAGTATAACCCACTATCATAAGTTATACTCGGGACCTCATGTGAAAAAGGTGGGACACCCAAATTGGAAGAAATAATCTTCATGAATTGAAACCAACAATTGGTTATACCCACTTGGGTTGTCAGTCAAGACGTGATGAGGTAATGTTTTACCGATGTCGTATTGGCCACAGTCGGTTTACTCATGACAATCTGCTGAAAACCGAAGGGGATGGACCTGCCATGTGTGTTTCTTGCGATGAGATGTTCACCATCAAGCATATTCTGCTTGATTGTGTGGACGTTTCGACTGCAAGGGATTCACATTATGACGCGAGCTATCTGAGGGAAGTTGTCCTGTATCATAAATTGTAGCTGTGTAATGTGAATAACGAATTGCTTGCTTTTGAATTCGGTGCTATGACATTTTCTGTTAAATAATAATGTAATGAATATATATGTTTTTTCAAATAAAACTTATTCGGACTTTGTACTTAAAATGTTTATGAAATTAATGCAGACTTGATCTCGTCACTATATGGCTGAACTAATGCCGATGGGGCGCAACCAAACTCAACTCAAATGAACAACTGCGATCAGAACCAAACACACGCCGTATCAATTATGAAACACTGTACGGATAAAACCGACCATCGTCAAATCAATATTCCCACTTCACAGGAATCGGCTGTAAATGGAGGGTGTGACGAAGGAGGACTGAATTAGCATCTACTGAATAGTAAGACGTCCATACTAGCTGCACAGTTTTCATCACGCATAAGCATAAGTGCTGTACACTTGAACATGTTACCAATGGACCATGTATGTCTAATTC